AGGTTAAGAACTGCTGGTTTAAGAGGAATTAGAAAGGGAAACTTGAGTTAGGAGAGTATTATGATGGTCCAAGTTAGAAATAATAAAGACTTCAGTTAGGAAGTTAGCAGTGAGATATTCAGTGGTAAAAACAACAGGACTTATGTCCCAGACAAGGGAGAAAAATGAAGCAAAGATACCATCTTCATAGACGTGATGGTCCTAACCTTGAGACTGGGTGAGGTTGCCATGGAAGAGAACCAAGTAGAGATCCTTAAAGGATAACTACATTCATGGATGGGAGAGGGTCCAAAAACCTGAGAAGTGGGAGGAGAATCAATTGGCTGTAGTGGTAGAAGCTGAGGCCTGAGATTTTCAAGTAGGATATATGATTATCTCAAGAGCAATTAAGAACAGTGTAGTAACATTAAATCATAGTAAGCTTCAAAATGTTTTTGAAATAGTCTCTGAAATATTTCTCTCAAATGTATGTTTATTGGATATCTTCGAAGTTATACTTTATAGGGACTTCTCTGGTGGCACAGTGGTTGAGAATCCACCTGCCAGTGCAGGGGACACGGGTTCGATCCCTGGTCCAGGAAGATCCCACATGCCACGGAGCAGCTAAGCCCGTGTGCCACAACTACTGAGCCTGTGCTCTAGACCCCGGGAGCCGCAACTACTGAAGCCTGTGAACCTAGAGCCCGTGCTCCACAGCGAGAGGAGCCACTGCAATGAGAAGCCTGTGCACCGCAACAAAGAGTAGCCCCTGCTCGCTGCAACTAGAGAAAGCCCGTGCAGCAGCTAAGACACAACACAGCCAAAAATAAATAATTTTTTTAAAACGTTATACTTTATAAAGGTACTTTGAAATCCAAGAAAGATAGCCAGACTTATGAAATAGAGAACAGTTTCTAATTCTAGTTCCACCTTTCTAGCCAGCTGACCTTGGGTAAGCCACTTACCCAGTGCTCATTTTGCTAGCCCATTGAATGGCGATGCTAAGTGCTTGCCCTGCCTACTCCACTGTATTGTTTTTTGCATTAAATTAGACAACAGATGTGAAAACGCGTTGTAAAATGTAGACCAGTATACAGAAAATGGATTATTAGCACTAACCTTTTTGCTGTTATTCACAACACTTTAGTATTGAGAAGCTTTGGACAATTTATATTCCTAATAAAGAGGTAAAATAATACTAGGAAGTCCAAGGTCACCTTCTGTTCAGGGAGCTCACCATCCCACAGGGAAAACAGGATAAGGAAATACATAACTATAAACACCAGGGCAAAAGTTCTGTGAGAGCAGGAATCATATCACTAAGGTATTTCCAATGCCTAACTTAGTGCTTGAAACCTAGTAGGCTCTCCTAAAATATTTATTTTTAAAATTTGATGAAATAATACAAGGTAAAAGGTCATATAAATAAAATATTCGGATAGTTTTGAGGAAGAGGAGATTCAAAACCTGGCACATTGCATGAATAATATGATGAATTAATGAATCATGGAGAGGGAGAGGTGTCATGTCCCAAAAAAGTCACCTGAGTTAATATGCAGCAAAAAAGGAGTTTAAACCATATCAGATGCAAAATGTAGAAATAGCAGCAGGTGAAAAATGATTTTTAAATTCAGAAGACTCTAAGTTGCTAAAGGCCAAGACCATGGACATCGGAAAACAGTGATGGGTCAGAGGAGACACCCTCGGAAATGGTGGTACACCCTCGGAAATGGTGGTACACCCTCGGAAATGGTGGTACACCCTCGGAAATGGTGGTACACCCAAGCTGATCACTTATTTGCTTTATTGGTTACGACTGCATCTCACCCAAAGGCAAAGTATTGCTTATGTTCAGATATGTACCTGAAATTTGGGTGCTAGAGTGTTCTGCTTTAAATGTGGCCAGTGAAAGCATCCTGATCATGTGCTCTTCTGTCTATAGGAATAGATAATCTCTATGAGAGGGCGCTTCACATCCGCAAACTCCTCCTGACCTTGCCCAGGTCGGTCCTTATAGTGATGAGGTACCTCTTTGCCTTCCTCAATCAGTAAGTACCATAATTCTCTGCCAAAATGCTCATCTTAATTCCATTTGCACCCCTCTGAGTTCTTGGATTCTGTAACGTGTGCGTTGGGTTCCATTTATCAGCAGAGTTGAAGAGGAAATGATTGAATAGAGACTGAAGGTGCATTTTTCCTCAGCAGATCAAAGTCATTGTGTGACCTACCTTAAATAAGCCTGTCACCAGATGCAGAAACTGTGGCCATAATTGCAAAAATATACAAGTATTACTAAAAAGAGCACTTTTCAGTGAACTACCTGTTTTTCCAACTTCCATCCAAAGCCAATGTCATGAATGTTTTGTTAAAATGATGTAAACCACCTGCTCACTGCAGAAAATTTCTGTGATTTTTAAAGTTGTAGTCAGGGAAGGAGGGAAAGTGTAGGTGAGATTTATACACAAATCCAAAAAAGAATTTTCTGCAAATTCAGTGTAATGAGACCTTGTCAAAAAGATGATATTTCTAAAACAATGTAACAGAAATCTTAAAACTCACTGCATTATTTTCAAGGAATCTTTACTCTTTTAATTTAGGCAACTTGATTTTCAGTTGTGTCACTTGTAGATACATGGGCTCCATTATAAGAACATCTTCCCCAGGTCCTATCTAAGAGCCCCCTTGCACTTCAGTGTTTCAGTTAAATAACTGGAAATTTAAAATCCAGGCAGAGTAAGCTTGGGGAAATGCTTTCTCACTCCAGCATGAATTCTCCCTTCTTAAAATTAGGATATTTTCTCTTCTCTATTTCACTGGAAGTTTTAAGTTCTTAAAAGCCATGGGGATTTATTACAACCCTGCTAACTCTTCCTGAAGTCATACCCATTCAGGCTGACCCCCTGCAAGCCAAGTATCCTAAAATAGGGAAATGCTGGCAAGAAACCATACAGAATGGAGCTAAAGCATTCACAAATGACATTTGTACAGAAGTCACCCCTGGAAATTAGCAGTATCTAGAGAGATGGGTATAATCTAGTTTAGGTTAAATACATCCTGTAAATGTTTACCTTTAAATAAGCCAAGTCACCCAGGCAATTGTAAAAATCTGAAGATTGCATGTGCCTCTCCTTCCCCCACATGGAGCACCTTGCATCCCTGCTGGTCCTCTCCATGCTGTCCCTACCAAATTTTCCTGACACACCTGAGCGAAACCAACTGTGAACGAATAAACCACAATGGATTAGGAAAGCAGACTGACCATGAACCAAGAAAGTTCTCAAAACCTGAATCTAATTCACCGTGTATCTCAACAGAATGGCCACCGTGCCATTCGTCAGACGATTGGCATTGCTTCCAGCATTTCTGCCCAAAGATGCACCTTGGTCCCCTGCATCTGCCTTCATGCAGAGGCAAGGCCCAGCCTCTAGGATAGGATGCTCGGGACAGGAATTTTGGGAAAAGAAACTATTCTCTTTCAATTGTAAAATCAAAACATGTATGTAACATTTTTATGTCAAGTTTTTGCCCTTCAAGCCAGCACAAAATTAAAGACCCAGAAAGACTGTGACTCTCCCCATTGAGCTTAAGTGGGTCTTTTGAAAATTAGACCATTCTTATTCTGAATCTCACTTTTCCTTCCTGCATTCATTTTCAAGATGATCTGTAACATGATCACTGGCTGTTATTTGTGAACTGTTTTTAAGATTTTATGTTGGAGAAATGGCAGAAGAGAAAGACATATGTTACCTGTGGAAATCATGCTTTTGTATTTTCCACTTTCTAGGCTATCTTATTTCCAAAACAGGGTGAAGTATCATGTCACATGGTATCTCAGTTTCTTTGTGTCTGTCAACATCTCACAAATATAGAGTCTCTTTTTTTCTCCTTCCATTTGTCATCTGTTCACCTGGATTTTACATTTCCTTTCAATGTTGACATTCTATACACTGAAAGGTAGATTCTCTGGATTCTCCCTGGAGCAGTACCTTGCCCATGTGTTACGAGGCATAGCGGTAAAGAGCTGGCTTATTTTCAGTCACCTGTGGGAAATATCTCACAAATAGCCATTGGATTGGATTTAGAAATTAGTACTAGGCAACTGGAAATCTCCTCAGAGTTTGTAGCTTACCAGCTTTAAGTGGAATGCAAGAATTGAGGATTCTGTTCCCCTTCTCTTGCACTTGTGTGTTTTATGACACTGGTTGTCACCTAGTGTTGGTAGTCTTACCCAAAAGCAAATTACAAAGCCTGGAGTTGCTTGCTTTCTCACAGCGGGTACAAAGAAAAGGGGATTTGTTTTCCTCCAGACTCTCCTCAAGATTTATGGGAAAAAACTGAAATCTGAGATGTTTTCGGTTCGTTGGAGAACAATTTTAAAGATCTCCATAAAGCTTTATAGAGATCACTGCTGCCCCTCCCAGATTTACCTGAGCAGCATTTACAGCCGGACCATAATGTTTACAAATGAAACTCATTTACTTGATCCTTGTCTCCATTGTAGTAGAGATTATCTTAAACTCCCTTGTGGCTTTAAAAAATACCACTTAAGCAAACAGGATTTATGTTCCCCTTTCAGTTTCTACCAAGTTGAAAGGTAAGTCGCTTTACTTTCTTTGGAATTTGCTGAGCCACCTTAAAGCAGGATGGAATATCATTTTATTCTAATAATAAAAACCAAATAAAATCTTTTAGATCGGTATTTTTAGAATAGGAAGTATCTTATTAAACATTGATTTTCTTTTTTTCTCATGTTAACTCCTTTCTTGCCTCTCTTTGTAGTCTTTCACAGTACAGTGATGAGAACATGATGGACCCTTATAACCTGGCCATTTGCTTTGGACCCACATTGATGCCTGTCCCAGAAATACAGGATCAAGTGTCCTGCCAGGCTCATGTGAATGAGATTGTCAAAACCATCATCATCCACCATGAGACTATTTTCCCAGATGCTAAAGAGCTGGATGGCCCTGTTTATGAGAAATGTATGGCTGGAGATGACTATTGGTAAGTCCAAGAATTTTAGTCCTTCTCCCCCTGGAAGAATTATGGAAGTACAGATATCAACTTAATTAAGAAAAAGAACACTGACTATAGGCTGCCAGTGCTTCCAATTTAAAAACAAAAGCAGCAGCAGCAAGAACACTTGAGATACACTAGAATACTAAAATCCATGACAACACTGGCTTCTTATTATGGAATTTCATATTCATCCCTCTCTTTTCCCCAAGCATGACATCTTTATAGATATATCCATCCTATCATGACTTCTGTAGAGAATGATTTTGATATATAGAGCTCTGTTAATTTTTACTATTATATCAAGAAAAGATAACTGATTGAATTGACAGATTTTATTTTTATTCCTAAATAGTTTTGATTCTATATAAAGTATTTCAAAATTCTCATTTAAAAGGAGCGCCGTCAACCAAATGTGTTTTCATTCTTCCTTATTTTCATTCTTACAAATAAATGTTATCCTAACCAGTTATGGTCACTTTGAGCAAATTTATTATTATATTGTTGGGATAAAAATGTTTTAACATGGCATTGTAGTCACCTCCCAATGAAGTATAAAAATGAGGGGTATAGTCCATTGAACAATCCCAAAGGTAAGGAACCCTAAACTGTTTATGTTCACTGTTTGATATATGAGTGCTAGCTTCTAAGATTACATATACAATCAACGTGGTTTTGACTCCTTGAGCCCCTACCGCGTGCCAGCTTCTCAGTGCATATGATCTCTTTTATTCCTCACAACTACTCTACCAAGTAAGTTAAGAGAGGCCGAGGAGCCTGTCCAATGGCTAGTGGTTACTGGACGCAGCCCAAGTCTTGTCTGATTCCAAAGTCCACACGAGTCTTCCCACTCAGCAGCTGCCTCCCAGCCTACCTCGGAAACTGCTTTGTGCAGCTCAGACTAAGGAGAAGCTGGAAATAAATTTGTCTAAGTCCTTCATTCTGGACCCTCCTCGGGACACTTTGTTTCCCACTGCCTTCCTGGAGATGAAGTAGAAGTAGAATAAGTAACTGAAAGATCTAAATAACTCAGAGTACACTTATTTTTTACTTAAACCACATATGATCCTATGCCTTAAGAAAATTGAGAGTTGACTATTTCCACAAGTACTGCTAAATTAACAATAAAGCATGATAGATTCTAGTTTTATAGTATATCTAGCAATTTTATGTGAAATTCAATTTTAAAATATTTACTTGAGCACTTACTACATGCACATACTGACTAAGCTTAGCTCTGGGAAGATAAATGAATAAAACTCAGCCCTGGTGAGATTCAGAATTTTATTTTCCTAGTTGTATTTGTTTCGAGGCCAGTGTCAGTCATGTTTAGTATTTCCAAATATTCAGAGCTATGTCAGTAAGTTCTGTTGTCTTGTTCATTTTATCACAGAGCAAGTATGTGGATGTCTGGTCAATATTATTTGATGTGTTGTATTCTAGAACTTTTGTGGTTGCTCCATTTTTACAAACAGGGTAAAAGCCCCATGATAAAGAGTCTTGCAGCCAGTAACACGTGCTTGATTATGTCCTTCTCCCATACATAGTGTTTTTTATGGGTATCGCTCATTTTAAACAGAAAGTCAGTAATATAGTAGTCATCCCTGTTCCCCAATGCCAGCAATATAAGTGGGCTTTTACAGTAATGTCGGGTTTGTATTTGTAACCATTGCATTCCATTTATCAGCATACATTTGAGAAGAGATAGTGGTAATGTTAAAGGATAAAATCTGACTCTCAGATACAAAAATGAACATGTGTCTAGAAAAGTTAAAAAAGATACTACAATCAATTCAAAGCAGAAACCGAAGAGCCATCCATTTTTATGCAGTAGGGAATATTGAAATGAATTTGCAGAAACTGGTGTATCCATGGGGCAATAATCATATTCCACTAGAATTCAACAAATTTTCATTTTTATGGATAAGAATTATTTGTAATACTATCGATTTCCTACAAGTTAATTTTGTCTTTACAGATTTGTAATGTGTCAAAGATGAAGGTACATACACTCCCATAGCATTAGAGAATCCTAGAGGCTCCAGCATTCCACTGAAAGGCTGTCCAGTAACTCCTTTGCCATTCCAAAGTCTTATTTTTTTTTTTACAGTAGCAATTGTTCATCTTTGAAATGCTTTCCACTTTGGCTTCATATGAATTTCTATTTCCGCTCCTCAGCGACAGCCCATACAGTGAGCACGGTACATTGGAGGAAGTGGATCAGGACGCTGGTACAGAGCCCCACACCAGTGAAGACGGTATGCATTTGTGCCCATGCTACTATAAAATTAGTCTTTATATCCATTTTTTAAGAATTGCTTATAATAAGAATTCAGTAGATACAAAAGAATACTTACTAAATATGTGTAAAGTGCAAAGAATAACATTACAATGAACACTTGTGGAACTACCACCAAGTTTAAGAAAAAGGTATCATTACCTTTGCGCTTTCCTGGACCCATTGCCTTCTTTACCCCTCCAGGGTAACCACTATATGTTTGTACTTTTAAGTGATTTATTGTTTCATTTTCTATTTTCTTTGACGTTTCATAAATGGAATCATATGTATATACTTTTCATGATTTTTTTCTACTCAGTATTATGTTTCTGAAATTCATCCATTGTTGCATGCAGTTATAATCATTTATTTACCTATATTCCATTGTATTTATTTTATTATTGATGAATATGTGAGGTGTTTTCTATTTTTTTGCCATTAAAAACAGTGCACCTATGAATATTTCAAACATGTATCCTACTGCAAATGTAGAGTTTCTCTAGGATATACTCACATAGGAGTAGCATGTCTTCAACTTTACTACATACTGCCGAACTATTTTTGAAAATGGTTGTAAGGATATCCACTCCCACCAGCAGTGTCGCAGCCTTTCAGTTGTTCATAGTCATCAACACTTGATTTTTTTTTCCTTTATTTTTTTTTTGCTGTGTCAGGTCTTAGTTGCGGCACACGGGATCTTCGTTGAGGCACGCGGGATCTTTCATTGCGGCGTGTGGTCTCTTCGTTGCAGCACTGGGGCTTCTCTCTAGTTGTAGTGTGCAGGTTTTCTCTCTCTAGTTGTGGCTCACAGCCTCCAGAACGCATGGGCTCTGTAGTTTGCGGCACACGGGCTGTCTCATTGAGGCACGTGAGCTCAGTAGTTGTAGCCCATGGGCTTAGTTGCCCCGCAGCATGTGGGATCTTAGTTCTCTGACCAGGGATCAAACCTGTGTCCCCTGCATTGGAAGGTGGACTCTTTACCACTGGACCACCAGGGAAGTACCAACACTTGACTTTATAAAATATTGTAATCTTTGCCAATATTGTCAGCGTGTAATGGCATCTCATTGTGATTTTAATTTACATTTCTCTGATTACTGACGAAGATGTTGTTTTAAAATATAGTGTATTAATAGAAAATTTGAGGTATGGTAAGGCCAGCATATTGGGAGATCATCGCCATTGAAAAGATAATTTGATACAGTTCCTAAGAGGAGGGGACACATCACACCTCAGGGGGCCAAGGAAAGCACCAGGGTCAGTCAGGAGGCAGAGGGAGAGGAACAACTGGGTAAGAGCTTTTATTGTGGTTTCCACAGAAAGGAACATGAGAGGCAGGGTAAGCAGGGTTAGGATTGCCTAGTTTGGATAATTTCAGTGGGCTCTGGGGCTGTCTCTGGTTGTCTGGTACCTGGCTCTGAAGTGATTGGGGCAGACAGATAGTGGTGTAAAGTGTGAGAGCCCCAGAGAGAAGGTGGTTGGGATATAGGCTCTGGATCGGTTGGTTTGTATTTGAAAAGCACATTCCAGGTGAGTTGTCTACCATCCCTAGGAATTGGCTAACCCTGGGAGGGACAGTCCCTCCAGGGGCAGCGAGGCCTCAGAGGTCACACTACAGAAAATGAAAAACATGGTTAATGCAGATATACTAATTTTTGTATGTTTAGATTTCTTCTTTGTGAAATTCCTATCTTTTGCCCATTTAGGGCCCACTTGCCCACTATCATTTTCTCTGGGCTTTTTTTGCTTAGTTTAGTTTAGTTTGGCTTTGGTTTTTTCTTATTTATAAGAGCTCTTTGTGAGTCTGGATCAGGTCTTTTATTGGATATATGATTTGCAAATATCTTCTGCTCTGTAGCTTGTCTCTCATGTGCTTATTGTATCTTTTGCCAAACAGAGAGTCTTAATTTTAAAGGCGCTGAATTTACCAATCTTTTCCTTCATGGTTGTTTCACTTTGCATCTCCTTTAAGAAATCCTGTGCCCTGAGGTTAATGAAGGAGTTCTTCCATATTCTCTGCTAAATCCTTTCAGGTTTTGTTTTTCACACACAGGTCTTAATTCTACCAGGAATTTATTTGGAGGTATGGTGTGAGGTAGGGATTTGTTCCTTTTTTTCTCCATATGGGTGCACAGTTGTCCCCACTGTCCCAGCCTTAGTTGTCCTTTCTCTACTGCTCCACACCTTTATCATAAATCAAGTGTCATCTCTGCATGAATCTGTTTCTGGGCTCTGTTCTTTTCCATGGGTCCACTTGTCTATCCCTACACCCGTCTTAATTTTGATACCTTTTAATAAATCTTAACATTTGGCAAATCAAGACCTCTGAATTTGTTCCTCTTAACAATTCTTGGCCTTTTTCACTTAAATTTTAAACTCAGTTTTTCAAGTTCTTGAAACAAACAAGGAAAAAAAACCCTAAAAACCTGTTGAGGTTTGGACTGCAATTGCACTGATCCTACATATATTAATATGAAAAAAATTGATATTTTTATAATATTCAGTCTTCCAATCCACAAACACCTTTCTAGTTACTTAATGTCTCCCAATAAACTTTTATACTTTTCTCTGTAGTAATCATTTTTTTGTCTTTCTAACTTAACTTTAATATTTAACATTACTTTTTGACACTTTTTTAATGTGAACATATAAAGCTGTCGGTTTTTTCTTAGTACCTCTTTAGCTGTATGCATAAGCCTTTTATTCTCTCTTTAGCTGTGACTAATCTGCTTTAAACCCATTCACTGTGTTTTTATTTTTAATTTTTTTTTCTACAAGTTCTGTTCAGTTTACTTTCACATCTACTTGGTCAGTTGCTCTTTACTTACAATATTAATCCCTTCCATTGTTTTAGATTATGTGTCTAATCATGCTAATAGCTGAAGTCTTCCTGGATCTGTTTTTGTCAGCTTTGCTCATTGAATCTTATTTCCAGTGTGTTTTATAAATTTTTTACCTATTTCTTAGAACTTCATGGAATTCCTTTATGTTGAGTTGAAGGTGTGTCCCCTCCAGAGAGGGTTTTCATATACGTCTGCCTGGTGCATAACCAGCTTGGGACCACAGTAGATTTCTAGTCTGAGATTTTTTCAGACCACCCAGGTCGTGTGAACTTAAACTGCAAACCTGCCAGAGGACTGAAACGTGGTTGGGATTCTCTCAGGTGATTTGTTTCCCAAGGCTTGAGAGAGATTATTTCCTTAAGTCCAAAGTTGATGTGGTTACATCTATGGAGAAGTACGGAGAGTGAGAAGGGAGGAAGATTTCAGAACCAGAAGTCCACTGTGACACAGAGAGTTTGATTCTTTGGTGGGGCTTAGATTCTCCACACTGGGCAGCCCCTGGACCTAGTCTTTTGTGCAGAATAAAGTTTAAGTTAACCAGGCAGGGAAAATTCCCTCCAGGCAAACTCTGACTTAACATATTCTAGTGTTCTGTTTACCTTGGTGGGTTCCCACATTCACCAGGTTTTTGGTCTTTAATATTCCTCACAGTCATAATTAATGTGGTTACAAAGATTTTTTTTTAATCCAGCATTTTTAGTTGATTTCAGCAGGAGGGTTTTCAGGATGTCTAGGTCTACCCTGTGCTTTAAAAAAAAAAAAAAAGTTTATTTGTGTGTTTTTTTAATATATATATTAATTTATTTTATTTATTTATTTTTGGCTGTGTTGGGTCTTCGTTGCTGCACACGGGCTTTCTCTAGTTGTGGAGAGTGGGGGCTACTCTTTGTTGCAGTGCACGGGCTTCTCATTGCAGTGGCTGCTCTTGCTGCGGAGCACGGGCTCTAGGCATGCGGGCTTCAGTAGTTGCAGCACGCAGGCTCAGTAGTTGTGGCTCATGGGCTCTAGAGCGCAGGCTCAGTAGTCGTGGTGCACAGGCTTAGTTGCTCCGCGGCATGTGGGATCTTCCCGGACCAGGGCTTGAACCCGTGTCCCCTGCATTGGCAGGCGGATTCTCAACTGCGCCACCAGGGAAGCCCCTGTGTTTTTAAAAGTAGGATAAATTGACATTTTTAGAACTTAAGTTAGAAGAAACTAAAGTGAGGGCTTCTATTTCTGTGGTATTGCTTTTGAAGGTCTCTGAGCCCTCCCTCTGCCACTCTCCATTCTTTTGTCTTGAGTTTCTGTGTTTCTTTGTGATTCATTCCTTTTTCACTGATGACTTCTGTGAGTGTTTCCTTGCTTGCCCCAGTGGCAGGAAAAGCCCAAGACAAAGCCCCAGCCGTCTCTCTTTCCAAGCATCTGTCTTACCACCGCACCATCTGGCAGTTGTTCTTACCTCTTGGCTACAAAAGAGCAGCTTTGCTGAGGGCTCTGTGTTTGAGATAATATTTTGATCATGTTCACCTGATTTTGCTGGAAAGAAAAGCATTGCTTACAAGGGACAGATACCCTTGCCCGCAGCCAGAAAGTCCTGTAACTAAATTAACTAGCGTGTTGATTGTCTTTTTGATCATCTAGGTATTGTGTTTTCTTTTCTCTGTCATGGTATCACTAGAGAGAGTAGCTTTTGTTTCCAAAAGACAGGCTGTCACAGAACAGAATCATCATCCGCAAGGGCAGTGGGTAACAGATCTAGGAGAGAAAGTGTCAGGGACAGCAAGGTCCCAAAGGGGTAGTGTGATGTACTAGCACTTTGTATAAAATTACAAGAAATGGAAATATAAGACTTGATAGCACCAGCTAGTCAGAAAATCAGCTTTGTTGAATTTTCTTTCCCTTTGCACAAAATTATAATTGCCTTGTAGGAAAATGAAGTTATCGTGTTCACCCTTATTAATGTTGTTATTGGTAGCAGTAGCATTCTACAAAGTCTCTGCAGGACCTTAAAGGACTGTGTAACCCTACATGAAAGGGGTATGGTGTGTCTCCATGCCCTGAGATCGATTTGCTCTGCAATGATGAGACTCAGATGTGTATAAATAGCTTATTGACACTTGACTGTGAAATTTCTCTCATGGGAGTGGAAAGAGTCAAAATAATGAAATTGCTCAGAATTACTAGTTGATGTAGTAGGATTACCAGTAAAGTGTACTTCTGATCCATCTGGTCATTCTTTTAAAACGTCTTTACATTTGAATCATATAAGCAGAGTCTGATAATCTTGTTGCTAGTTGTTTCAAAAAACAAAAAGAGATAATGAGCATAGAGGGCATGATGATGAAATTATGATAAAATTTGTATATATCTATTAAATAGTCTTAAATCGCCCTTGGCCAGTGTTGACAGTGTAAGACTGAATGGCATTAAAGAATATTAATAGTTCTCTCTTCTTTTCCCTTTGACAGGTACATAGGTTGTATGCTATGTTTTGCTGTTATCTTTCCACTTTCTTTCAGTAAAACAATTTAAACATATGGGTGTGTCACATAAGAATTTGCAAACTACATATCACGAAGCTCTTTTTGGCATGAGTTCATTGGCATGACTTCACTCCTCTGTGGATGTTTATTTGTGTCCCCTGTACCACAGACAGGTTGATTTCTGTCCCCCAGGGCAGTGGTTCCCAACCTTTTTGGCACCAGGGACCGGTTTCGTGGAAGACAATTTTTCCACAGACCAGGGGCGGGGGAATAGTTTCAGGATGATTCAAGCACATTACATTTATTGTGTACTTTATTTCTATTATTATTACATTATAATATATAATGAAATCATTATACAACTCACCATAATGCTGACAGGAGGCGGAGCTCAGGTGGTAGTACGAGCAATGAAGATGTAAGTACAGATGAAGCTTTGCTCGCTCACCTGCCGCTCACCTCCCGCTGTGCCGCCGAGTTCCTAACAGGTACTGGTCCGTGGCCTGGGGGTTGGGGACCCCTTCCCCAGGGAGAACTGGGGTAAAAAAAATTGGCATCTGTCATTTCAGTTCAAGCAGGATTTATTCTTTACATGCAAGTTTAGAACAGACTATAAAGTCAGTCTCCTTGAATAAAAGTTCTGTTTCCTCCTCTGTGAGCAGACTTATGGATATTTAATAAAGCTGCTATTGTTTTATTAAAATATAATTTTAGGATGGAATATCAGAGTGTTAACATACGATCTAAAAGTTATCAGTTATTAAAGGACTTAAACTATTGTTTTAAAATTATTTCTACACCTACTTTGCTGAGAAGTATACTGTGTGCAGATCATCGTGTTGTGGTTCTGCCATATGAAATATTATTCACCGTAAACATTATCCACTAGCAGAAAGATGGGGCTTTTTTTGTGTGTCTTTATTTTAAACATAGAGCTGAAATTCACCCAGGCCCTTCATATAAGGTAAACCCTAAGCTTTTTCAGTATGTTTGTTGATTTTCATGCTCTTGCCATCCCAGAGGATGTTTGAATTTATCAAGTGGGAAAGTTTAGCTGGCTATCCAAGGATTTCTTGTGCAGTTATTTCATAGAAGTACAACAGATATTGAAGATATTGCAGTAAACTTTGGGAAGCAATAAACTCTTAAATGGAAAGGTTTGTTACCAAGAGAAATAGAAGATAAAAGTTCCTTACAAAATATTTGACAGGCAGGTTTTAATCTATTATGTGTGCATATATTCTAGAGTATTTGGAAAGTGATACATGCTCAGTTTTTAGCAAATGAGGTATTGTTCATTGCATAGACAGATTTCTCTAAGCATATGCCACTTGTACTGACCCTTTTTTGTTCTGTTACTTATTAATTAGCAGTTTACTCACCTGTTATAATTTTATTTATTTTTGGCTGCGTTGGGTCTTCATTGGTACGCGCGGGCCTTCTCTAGTTGTGGAGAGTGTGGGCTACTCTTCGTTGTGGTGCGCATGCTTACTGTGGTGGCTTCTCTTGTTGTGGAGCCCGGGCTCTAGGTTCACGGGCTTCAGTAGTTGTGGCACGTGGGCTCAGTAGTCGTGGCACACGGGCTTAGTTGCTCCGCATCATGTGGGATCTTCCCAGACCAGGGCTCGAACCTGTGTCTCCTGCATTGGCAGGCAGATTCTTAACCACTGCGCCACCAGGGAAGCCCTACTCACCTATTGTTGGTAGCAGGGATGGGGTGATGGTGGGAGAGGGGAGATAGGATCATAAAGCCCCCGATTCAGGGCTTTTTGTAATAAGCTGGATCACAAAAAGCAACTCTTGTAGTTGTTTTGAGTAGTTTGTCCTCTTATTTGCCTTTAATATTTGTGGTCAGAATTAGAATAGAGCTGAAATTCCAATTCTAGGCCCAGAGCTTGATAGCTTTTTTCAACTTTTAATTTTGAGGTCATTGCAGATTCACATGCAGTTGTAAGAAACGCAACAGAGAAATGCCATACACCCTTCTCCCAGTTTGCCCCAGTGGTAACGTTTTACATAACTGTAGTATAATATTACAAGTAGGAAACTGATATTGATATACTCCCTCCACCATTTTCACATTTCACCAGTTTTACGTGCACTCATTCGTGCATGTGTTTACTTAGTTCTGTACAGTTTTATCACACGTGTAGATTTGTGTGATCACAACCACAGTCAAGATCAAGAACAGTTCCATCACAAGGATCCTTCGTGCTACCCTTTAATAGCCTTAGCTGTTTCCTTCCATCACTTCCCCCCGACCCCAGCCTCTGGCAACCACTAATCTATTCTCCATCTCAATTATTATGTCATTCCAAGCATGCCATATAAATGGAATCAGGCAATATGTAACTTTTTGAGGTTGGCTTTTTTCACTCACCATTGTTCCCTTGAATATTTTTTGATCTCTAGAAGATACAATTTTTGAATCTGGTCGTTTGAGTAGGTATGCTTGTTTCACAGGTGATATCCAGAATTCGTTTTTGATACTAGAAAAAATAAAGTTGTCTTTACTGTTGGTAGTAGTTTCAAGATTTGATAGTGCCAAAAAAAATACATAAGGAAATTAAATGTATTCAAATAGTATTTAATGTGGTGATTTCTGTAAACTTGATTTTTTTTTAAATAAGCAAATAAAGCATAAACTTCTCAATGTTCTGAGATAGTGATTCTTGCATGTTCTAAATGGTATTAACATGTTGCCAGGGAACTTGATCAAATAATATTGGTCAAGATAATACTGGAGCTGTTGCAGAAGATATTACAACCCAAGGAGAGATTTTATATCATATTGCAAAGCTTTAACTATTTTTTTATTAGACTGTCATGGTATCGCTAGTAAGAGGCTGTGGAAACTAAGATCTAATGTTCAGTTTTTCTTGGCCTGAAAAACTGATGACAGCAAGAGAATATTTTTCTGTATCTCTTTTAACAGCATCATTTTCTCATTGTCTTGATGATTTATTACCTTGTTCAGTCTGGATATTAAAATGACCTTGTTTATTTCTAAAGACTCATATAGACCTTTCAGCTAGTGTATCATGCCTCCCTGAGAACCCTGGCCCTCACCGTCTTCTGGTGTGTTCTTTGTAGAAAATGAGCCAATAGAAGCAATAGCCAAGTTTGACTATGTTGGGCGGTCTGCCAGAGAGCTATCCTTCAAGAAGGGTGCTTCCCTGCTGCTGTATCACCGCGCATCCGAGGACTGGTGGGAAGGAAGACACAACGGGATCGACGGGCTTGTGCCCCACCAGTACATAGTGGTGCAGGACATGTAAGTAGTCCCAACTTCCATCACCTGACGCTCCCAAGAGAAGACTCCAGCCACTGTTTTTATATATATAAATTTATTTATTTGTTTGCTTATTTATTTATTGGCTGCATTGGGACGTCGTTGCTGCGTGTGGGCTTTCTCTAGTTTCGGCAAGCGGGGGTTATTCAGAAGTTGCAGTGCGCAGGCTTCTCACTGTGGTGGCTTCTCTTGCTGCGGAGCATGGGCTCTAGGTGCACGGGCTTCAGTAGTTCTGGCACACGGGCTCAGTAGTTGTGGCTCACAGGCTCTGGAGAGCAGGCTCAGTAGTTGTGGCACACAGGCTTAGCTGCTCTGCGGCATGTGGGATCTTCCGGGATCTTCCCGGACCAGGGCTCAAACCCTTGTCCCCTGCATTGGCAGGCGGATTTTTAACCACTGAGCCACCAGGGAAGCCCAGCAGCTATTGTTCTTAAAATGACTTTGGTCTCGTGAGAAGCGAGCAGAAGGGATTACAGAGCAAAAATTTCTGAGCTGGGCACAGTTCTTCACCTTACTAATGGGTCTTTGCTAACAGCACTTCAGGGCCAACAGCTTCTCATTTCCCAAACTCTCCTAGAAGGTCTGGAGCCAAGGACTAGTGAGAGACACACCTTCTGAAGCGTTCAGGTTCTTAGAAAAATACCCTGTGCGGAGGATGGCTTTAGGAGCTAAAGTGGCCCTGCTGATTCCAGAAACAGTGGTGGCTCTTCTCTTGGTGCCTGTCTACTGTTTCAATTCCACATTCCTAAGAGAGAGGATGCTGACTTCAAGTCTAAAGAAAATCATCTTCAGGCTTTTTATTAATTTTGCTGATGAGAAAGCTCTGCTTTCAAAAAAATACTTAAAGAGACATCTTCCCGTCTGGTCATAATTTTAAGTGAAAGAAACAAGTTACAAAATACCATGTACAGTGTAATTTTAATTTTGTGACTGCAGTATTTCACAATGCAGCACCAATTTATGAACAGCTCTTCAAGGAAAAGGGGAAAATACCACATAAAATGTATACAGTGACTGATTGAGCCTAAGTTTTAAAATGTTAAAATGTGTCTCTCAGAATGCAAGAAATATGATGTGTGTGTATGCAGACATACAGTCATATATATCTAAAGTACATAAACATATAAATATCTATAGTATAAATACTGTACATACCTGTGGACATCCTTGTAGATATGTATCCCAGGCAGAGAAGAAAAGCAGAGAAGGATATTTTCTAGAATTCGAACAGTAGTTGTCTCTGGATGTTACGTTATATTATGGGTGATTTTTATGGGAATTTCGGAATTTTCCAATTTATCTGCCATGAAACGTTATTATTCTTATAGTGAAAAGAAAAAAGTGACGTTAGTAAGAGAAAGACTTACATACATAAATGCCATCACTTATTCTTTTGTCCCCATTCGTCTAGCAAAAGACCCTCACTCTTGATTCTCATCGTTTCAGGGATGATACGTTTTCAGACACTCTAAGCCAAAAAGCCGACAGTGAGGCCAGCAGTGGGCCCGTGACTGAAGACAAGTCTTCATCCAAGGACATGAACTCCCCAACAGACCGTCATCCTGATGGCTATTTAGCCAGGTAGGTGGAGTGGTCACCAGGCTCCTGAACCTCCACTTCTCCAGGGGCTCTGAGGGGCCGTGGCATCCACAGCCTTGCAGAATTACCCTGTGTGATAACCTCTCCTATCCTCTCGCTCTCTGTCTCTGTCTAGGCAAAGAAAAAGAGGAGAGCCACCCCCTCCAGTGAGGCGTCCTGGCAGGACCAGTGATGGCCATTGCCCTCTCCATCCCCCACATGGTCTTTCCAACTCCTCAATTGACCTGGGGTCCCCAAGCCTGGGCAGTCACCCCCGGGGCCTACTACAGAACCGTGGCCTCAATAATGACAGTCCCGAGAGGAGGCGTCGGCCGGGTCACGGCAGCTTGACCAACATCAGCCGCCACGACTCCCTCAAGAAGATTGACAGCCCTCCTATTAGAAGGTCCACATCATCAGGGCAATACACAGGCTTCAACGACCACAAGCCACTGGACCCAGAGACAATCGCTCAGGTAGGCTGCTTTGGATAGAATATTGCATGGTAAGTACCGGTGTGTGATGAAGGAGGCGTACAGGAGTTACTTTCTGGAGCCATGTCTTTTGTACAGAATCAACTAAAGACAACAGAAAAGAAATTAACCCATTCTTCAATTTAAGTCCATGTGATACTGGAAGGGCCCAAGTGTATTAGGTTCATAGTGATTTAAACAAAGACACGGCAGAAACTTAGGACCCAGGACAGTCAAACACATCCTTGCTGAATGGCCAGGAAAATTCTAAAAAAGAAGAAGAATGAGGAAGGACTAGCCCTACCAGATCCGAAGTGCATGCCAGAGCTAGTAAAACAGACAAACAGATGGAATGGAATGGAGAGCCCTGAAACAACATTTGTAGTGTATGATGAAAGTGACACTTTCATCTTAGGACATGGTGGATTACTCAGTAAATGAAGTGAGAAAATGATGGTTGGCTGTTTGAAGAACAGCAAGTTTGGCTCCTCTGTCACTCCTGAATGGATGTGTGTCTTTACTTCCCAATAGTGACTGCAGAGAAGGGCCTTGTAGTTTTTTCTAATGATCAGAATTGACAAAGTAGGGTTTCCCTGGTGGCGCAGTGGTTAAGAATCTGCCTGCCAATGCAGGGGACACGGGTTCAAGCCCTGGTCCGGGAAGATCCCACATGCCACAGAGCAACTAAGCCCATGCGCCACAACTACTGAGCCTGCGCTCTAGAGCCCGTGAGCCACAACTACTGAAGCCTGCACACGTAGAGCCCGTGCTCTGCAACAAGAGAAGCCACCGCAATGAGAAGCCTGCGCACCGCAACGAAGAGTAGCCCCCGCTCGCTGCAACTAGAGAAAGCCCACGCACAGCAACGAAGACCCAACGCAGCCAAAAATAAATAAATAAAATTAATTAATTAATTTAAAAATAAAAAGAATTGACAAAGTAAAACAGTATTAATGGATTTTTCCATCGTTCATTCTACCATTTAGTTCCCTCTGGGTCTTTTTACAACACAGACCATCAGAAAATATATGTATGACAGGAAAAAAAACTGAATCACTATGCTGTACACCTGAAACCAACACAATATTGTAAATCGAGTATACTTCAATGGAAAAAAAAAAGAAGAAAATATGTGTATGGCCAGTGAAAAAGGAGGTGAATAGATTCAGGGTTCACCATTTCAGTAAAGTGTCTTCCAGGTATCACTGAAGCTTAAAAATGGAATAGATCAAAAAAGGAAGTGAGAAATTACTGAAACAAACATGGGGAAGTATTAAAGATGGATTATTTTTAATAAAAAGTGCTCAAGGAAACCTGCATTTGATATGACAAATTTCCAAGCTATTTTCATTGTCCTAACTAAAAAGAATTTTGGATAGCAAATTAGATTGTGTGGAGAGTTTAATGTGTTTTTACAAAATTAAACCAATTTTAAGTGCACAACAGTTTTTCAGCAAAAACCAAAAAGACTTGACCTTTTTGGTTTTTTTTTTTTTATTTGAAGTGCAATGCAGAGTCCTTTGAGGTCTCTTTAGAACCAATGATATTTGGCTATAATCCATAACATCATTCCTTGTAATAAGTAGGTGAAACAGCATTTAGGTTAGAGAGACAGGGAGTAGGAGTTTAGTGGTGGGAAGGTATAATAAGGTCTGTTTTAACCCTTTTGCTTCTAGAACCAAAATCCTGTCATTGTAAATCATAAAAACAAAAACTCGACAGATAAACCAGGCTCTACACGTTCTCTCTGGGGCAAATACTTGTAAAAAACAAATCCATATATTTAGCGTCAAATGGAAATCACATATGAAAATAATTACTTGAAAAGTGATGTCATCCTCACAATATGGTTTCCAGCTGTGTCCTTTATTTATCTTTCCATCTCTCATCTTCAGATTTTCCCATGAGGACAAGTAAGCCTGCCATCATGGTGTTCATACCAAAAACATGCAATTTCTTTTAGTAAACAAATCAGTGGAATCCCTGATAGAGCTTTTTAAAAAAAAATTGACATATCCACATGTGATCACTGGATCTTCGTTTATTCATTTAGCAAGTCTTTACTGAGCACTTACTGTAAGGCAGCTCCCATGCTAGGTGTTATGGACACAGAGTTAAATCAATGGTCAGTCAGCCGCTGCATGAAGGTGCTTATAATTCAGTGGAGGAGGCAGATATGGAAATCGGTTGCTGCTGTGCAGGGCCACAGGCTAATGCTCCAGGTGAGTGGAAGAAGCCTGGGAATATGGAGAAGAGGTATTTCCATCAGACCAGGGCAGTGGTTCTCCACCCACCCTATCTCACACAGTACTCCACCATGTGTGTGTGTGTTGGTGGGGGGGGGGCAGTGTATAAAAAACATAATATGGGACTTCCCTGGTGGTGCAGTGGTTAAGAATCCGCCTGCCGATGCAGGGGACACAGGCTCGATCCCTGGTCTGGGAAGATCCCACAGTCCGTGGAGCAGCTAAGCCCAGTGCGCCACAACTACTGAAGCTGGCGTGCCTAGAGCCCGTGCTCTGCAACAAGAGAAGCCACAGCAATGAGAAGCCCGCGCACCACAATGAAGAGTAGCCCCCGTTCGCCGCAACTAGAGAAAAGCCTGCGTGCAGCAACGAAGACCCAACCCAGCCAAAAATAAATTCTTAAAAAAACAACATAATGTAAAACTGACCCTCTTTACGATTTCTAAGTGTATAGGTCAGTAAAGTGTATTCACATGGCTGTGTAACAGATCTCCAGAACTTTTTCATTCTGCAAAACTAAAACTCTGTACCCATCTAAGAACAACTCCCTTTTTCCCCTCCCCACCATGCCCTGGCCACCACTATTCTAAATACTTTTTGCTTCTGTGAATGTGCCCACCTCATATAAGTGGCATCATGCAGTATTTTTCTTTTTGTGACAGGCTTACTTCACTTAACATAATGCCTTTAATGTAGCATGTGGCAGGATTTCCGTTTTAAGGCCCAGTAATAATCCATTGTACGTATACAGCACATTTCACTTATCCATTCATCTGTCGATGGTGCACACCTCACGTTTTTAAAACAAATATTTTGTAATTCCCCCTTTATTATCTGAAAAACTGATGATGTGCCAATTTTTTTAAAACATATAAAGCCCTAAATACAATGTAAAGGAAAAACAAAAGGAGATTAGTATTAAAAGAAATGTATTTCAGAATGCTTAACTACATTAGAAGACAAATGAAGTAGTGAGATGCTTTCACCTACATGTAGACTTACCATAAATACAATTAAAAATGTATGTTGATATAAGAGTATTATTAAGTTAATTAGTTTCGACTCAGTTTCCATAATGGTGTTCCCATTATGGAAAAAAATTATGATTTTTCTAAAATGGTGGACCACCCTCGGTCATACAGTTCTAATCAAAGCAGGGTATAATTTACATGATAGTTTCATTCCTAGAAGACACCATGAAAAAAATATTTTGTGTTTATATATAAGAAAGTTAGGTTCTAGACTCAGACTATTATAAAAAAATTTTCACCTACATAAATGTCTGGAGGACATTTAAAAGTTGAACGAGATATGGGACAATTCATTGCATGTAAATTATCAGGACACTTGTAAGGTATCCAGTATCTCTGGCCCCTGCGCACCAAATACCAATAATGCCACCTGGTTATTTTGACATTTAAAACTACACATACACGTACACCATATTACAGAAATGCCCTCCATGGGGCAGTACCACTTCCATTGAGATCCACTGGACAGAAGCGTCAGGGGGAGTCTTAAAATGAATTCTGAAGAACTGCTAGGAGTTAGTCAAGTATATAAAAGTGCTCAAAAATTATCTGTTGAATGAATGAAAGAAGCCTGATTTTTCATGCCTATACGCATTTCTTAAAAATTGTTGCGCTAAATTTAAGCCATCTTTTACCACAGATTGAAATAGAATTCCATCTAAGATGTCAGCATGTAAGGTCAAACCCACCAGAGGGCTGCCACGTGCCTCAGAATGGCCAGTGCTTGTTCTGTGGCTCTTTGAGCCACTGGTGCCATCGCACGTCTTGTCTCCTGCACATCCTGAGTCACGGTGGTCGTGTGAGATGGCATTAGGTTTACACACTCCACAGGCTGGTGTTAAAACCGTCATGCTTTTGCTGGTCTGCCTGCTTTGAAGTGAAGTATATGGTTTCTATACATTAGTATTCATTATCAGCCTAGTCTGTCTCTCTTGCTGGTTATTTTTTTTTTCAGCTAATTATCAAGTGATCATTGACACACAGCACCATATAAGTTTAAGGTGTACAGCATAGTGATTGGACTTGCACACATCATGAAATGATTACCACCGTGGATTTAGTGCACATCCAGCATCTCACAGAGATACAAAATTAAAGAAAGAGAAGAAAAAATGTTTTTCCTTGTGATGAGAACTCTTAGGATTTACTCTCTTAACCTTCACATGTAACCTACAGCGGTGCTCATTATAGTTATCACGTTGTACATCACATCCCTAGTACTTAATTCATCTTATGACTGGAGTTCGTCCCTTTAGACTGCCTTCATCCAATTGCCCATCCCCGCAACCCCCCGCCTCTGGGAACCACAAATCTGATCTCTTTTGCTATGAGTTTGTTTTTGAAGTATGCTTGACCTACAACACTGCTAATTCCCGTCACATGACATAGTGATTCGATATTTCTATACATTTCAAAATGATCACCAGAATAAGTTTAGTTACCATCTCTCACTTCTGGTTCTTTTTCAACAGGATATTGAAGAGACGATGAACACTGCTTTGAATGAACTCCGAGAACTGGAGAGACAGAGTACAGCAAAGCACGCCCCCGATGTGGTGCTGGATACCTTAGAACAAGTGAAAAACTCTCCCACCCCTGCCACGTCCACGGAATCTCTCAGCCCTTTGCACAACGTTGCCCTCAGGAGCTCGGAGCCTCAGATTCGACGTAGCACTAGCTCCTCCAGTGACACAATGAGTACTTTCAAGCCTATGGTGGCGCCCAGAATGGGCGTGCAGCTGAAGCCCCCAGCCCTTCGGCCGAAACCTGCTGTTCTTCCAAAAACAAACCCTACAGTAGGGCCCACCCCACCTTCCCAGGGTCCAGCAGACAAGTCTTGCACAATGTAAAAACCAACTGAGCGAGCATACGGGGAGGTGATTAGAAAGAGAAAACGGATTAGTGACAAAAGTCAACAATCCTTAACTTTCCTTAGTCGTGTGCTTTTAACTGGAGACCCTTTGGCTTTTCTGTGTTCTCGAATGTAATGTCTGAGACTAGCTAAATTAACACGGGCATTTGTATTTTGTAATTTCATCCTTTTTTTTAATAACTGGACATATCCTGTGTCATTTTAAAGACAATAGAAACACTTAGACTTACTTGAAAATCCAATGCTGCACCATTTGTAATGAAGGCATCACCGCTCTGCCCTGCACGTTGCACAGTGCTTCAGGCTTAGTGTAGCCTGGATGAGTCAGAAGCGTCTGAATCCAAAGGCAGGAGGATCTGAGTTCCAGGCCTTGGAATGTAACCAGTGTTGGTCTCTGGCACTCGGGGTAAGGCTGAAAGGTGACAATGGATTGTTTGGTAGCTGACAGTGAGTACCTCTTATTCCATGCAGTGGGGCAGGGGGCTGGCTCTCGCTACAGACTTGCTGTTGTCACAGTGG